TATATGGTAGCCTGCACAACTATGGGTACACTTTACAAATGTATCCTAAGTCTTGGTTTAGATTAGGCGAGTTTACTTGCGGCAAGTCTTTGTTTGTAGGAGAGAGGGGCAAGGGGAATAGAAATGAAAAAAATTGCTCGTACCGACAATTTTCTGTCAATTCGTTTTGTGTATTTTGTATTTGTTGACATTTTATATATATTTAAATGTAAAAAAAAAACAAATAAAAAAATATTTTGGAAACCGAATTGCATTGTATAGACGCATGGAGCAAGTTCAAAAGAGAACGATAAAAATTGCCGCAAGTAAACTCGCCTAATATAAATCAGGACTAACAGACGTCGCCTTTTCGAAGGAACATTGACAAGAAATTGAAAAAAATAAATATGTGATCTCTATCTATAAGTGAACATGGACAGACAGACGGACATGCAAAAATCCGTTCAGAAAGTGATTCTATACATATTCTCAAAAGGAACCATGTGTCTATCTTGTTTCCTTTTGCCTGTTACAAACATATGAACAAAGACATATTACCCTGTACCACAGTGTTGTGAGGGGTATAAAACTCAGGCTATTCCTGCACCAGTGGAACGCATAAGGATTACATGTTCCGAGTGTCATTTTTCTGAATTGTAAGAGAAAAGTACATACATGTAATTAACGTCAAAATTCTCAAACATTTTTTAAAATAAATGTCGCCCTGATATTAACTTTCTATATAAGAGTTCCCAACAGGACTATTCTGACGATCATATATGTTTGTACTATTCAAGACCCATCATTTACTATTTTAATAGAAGTCGTCGAGCTATATATGTTTGACTGTTCTTCCATCCGTCAGTGCACTGTAAACTGTAACTAAACATCAGATCACAATTAAGGATTTTATATTCAGTAAATTTTAATAAGATACCCCAGAACCAATAGGAGATGATGGTATAGAGTGTATACCACCTAGCCAAGATGAGGTCATAAAATCAATTAATCGGCTCAAGAACAACAAAGCAGCAGGAGCCGATGGGTTACCAGCCGAACTATTCAAGACTGGTGGCCAGATGCTGGTCAGGAGCATGCACCAGCTGATTAACACAATTTGGCTAGATGAATGCATGCCCAATGATTGGAACCTCAGCATCCTGTGTCCCGTGCACAAAAAAGGAGACAAGACGATATGTGCCAACTATAGAGGAATAAGTCTCCTTCCCATCGCATATAAAGTGCTATCCAGTGTGCTGTGTGAACGATTGAAGCCAATGGTCAATGACATCATCGGACCATACCAATGCGGCTTCAGACCTGGCAAATCGACCATTGACCAGATTTTCACTCTGCGCCAAAACACATCGACACATATCACCTATTTGTCGACTATAAAGCCGCATTCGACAGCCCTATCCGTTCAGAGGTGTTTAAAGCCATGTCTGCGTTCGGCATTCCTGCAAAATTAATACGGCTATGCAGGATAGCTTTAAGTGGCACAAGGTCAGCCGTTAAAGTAGGAAAGGACCTATCGGAGCCCTTCAATACCGAACGAGGATTCAGACAAGGTGACAGTTTGTCGTGTGATCTTTTTAACATCCTACTGGAAAAGGTCATACGAGACGCAAAGGTGAACAGAAATGGCACTCTGTACACCAAACAACACCAGTTACTCGCCTACGCCGATGACATCGATATAATGGGTCGAACATTGCGAGCGGTAACAGCCACATTTGAACAAATTGAAAAGGAGTCTGCCAAAGTGGGTCTGGCAGTAAACGGTGAGAAGACCAAGCTGATGGTATCAACGCGCAAGACGTCCAGTAGACTCGGACCAACTGTGGAACTTGAGAACTACAGCTTCGAGGTAGTTAAAGACTTTATATACCTTGCCTCCGCCATAAATAAAACGAATGATATCAGTTTTGAAATTCGGAGAAGGATTGTGATGGCCAACAGATGCTACTATGGTCTAAGTAAGCAGTTTAGAAACAAGGCCACCTCTCGCCAGACCAAACTCACACTTTAAAAGACGCTGATACTACCCGTGCTATTATATGGATCAGAAGCATGGGTACTTGCGCAAGCAGATGGGGCAGCGCTTGGGGTGTTTGAGAGAAAAATTCTCCGAAAGATCTACGGGCCGATCTGCGTTGACGGTGAATATCGGCGTCGAATGAACCACGAGCTCTACAATTTATGTTGTGCGGATGAATGAAGATGCCCCAGCTCAAAAGGCATATAAAAAAGAGCCTACGGATGGTTCCCGTAGAAGGGGAAGGCCACGAATTAGATGGAAAGACCAAGTAGAAAACAACATCTTGGAACGTGGTCTTCCAAATTGGTGGACTTGTGCACAAGACCGACGCGCTTGGAAATCTTTTTTAAGCTCGGCTTATGGAACAACCGTTCTGTAACAAGCCAGCTATGTAAGTAAGTAAATTTTAATGAGGTGGGCTCTGACCAAACATATAACAAATTTGGGAATTTTCAGTAACATTATGGATGGGAAAAGATCCTGCCAACATGCCTCTTTTGATAAAGAATGGCAAAATTTTTGGAGGTCATATGCCCAAAGAATGGAAAAAGTTCAACTATAGATGTGGTAAGGGAGGCTTCAATGTAAATTAAGTCGCCACCATTATTAGCGCCTACTTAAAAATACTTTTGAAACATTTATAAGATTGCTATTAATTATATTTGTATTTTAAGATATACTAAATTATTTTTTATATCTTTTCAGTTTTCAATAATCGTTGGTTGGTGAGTTTATAAAAAAAATATTTTCTAATTATATAATTATATATTTAATTATCGATCTCGCTACCTTTGTCCGATCATTAATTTTAATTTTATTTTTTATAACATAATAAGTTAAATCTATTCTTTAAATAATGCAAATAAAAATGTGAATTCCTTAGAATACAATTTAACAAACTACCAAAAACATTTAAAGCGCAAATCAACATAATTCATTGATTAGGGTGCGGCAAGATATAAAACACAAAGACAGAAACAGTTCAAACAGCATTGCACCACCCAAATAAATATTTGACAATCGGATGCACAAACATACTCATATATGTTTATATAACGACTACGATGAGCAACAAATAAATTGAAATGCTGTGGCAAAATAAAAAGCACCATAATTCTGAACAAAAAAAAAAAAAAAATAAAAACAACAAAAAATTAAGCAAAATTTATTATCAAAATGAATTCTCAAATAAAACCAAAAAACGAAGAAAGGCATTAAGAACAAATGTGCTTACAGTCATACATTAAAATTTGTAACAGTGAATTGAATGGTAATTTAAAAGGTTGGAATCCGCAAGTATCAGTAAAAATGTATTAAGGATAGAATGGACATTTTTTTCTATTATTGTGTTATTTACTGAGAACCCAATACCTTTTTATACCCTTCACCACACTGTGGTACAGGGTATTATGTCTTTGTGCATGTGTTTGTAAGAGGCAAAAGGAATCGAGATAGACCCATTGTTCCTTTTGAGAATATGCATAGAATCACTTTCTGAGTCGATTTACGCATGTCCGTCTGTCTGTCCGTCCGTCTGTCCATGTATTTTTGTTAACAAAGTACAGGTCGCATTTATGATCCGACGAACCCTATTGAAATTGGAGAAAATCGGTTCAGATTTAGATATAGCTCCCATATATAGTTTCGCCCGATTTAATGTAAATGGTGTACCAAAGTCCCTATATGTCCTTCGATTTGCTCGAAATTTGGCATTGCGTACTGGAATGAGTCTAGAATGATGTGTGCAAAATTTCATGGAAATCGGTTCAGATTTAGATATAGCTACCATATATAGTTCGGCCGATTTTAGGTAAATGGTGCACCATAGTCCCTGAAAATGATTTGATTTGCACGAATTTTGGCATAGCGTATTAAATTAAGTCTAGAATATCTTGTGCCAAGTTTCGAGAAAATCTGTTCAGATTTAGATATAGCTCTCATATATAGTAACGCCCGATTTTGGGTAAATGGTGTAACAAAGTCCATATATACCTTTCGATTTGCACGAAATTTGGTATAGCCTACTGAATTAGGCCTAGAATGATGTGTGCTAATTTTTGTGAAAATCGGTTCAGATTTTGATATAGCGCCCATATGTAGGTTCGTCCGTTTTAAGGTAAATGGTGTACCAAAGTCCCTATATATCTTTCGATTTGCACGAAATTTGGTATTGCCTACTGAATTAGATCTAGAATGACGTGTGCTAAGTTTCGTGAAAATCGGTTCATATTTAGATATAGCTTCCATATATAGTTTCGCCCGATTTTAGGTAAATGGTGCACCAAAGTCCCTGCAAATCTTTTGATTAGCAAGAATATTGGCATAGCGTACTAAATTATGTCTAGAATGACGTGATGGTTTTAAGCAAATTGTACACTAAAGATCCATACCATAGTTCGATTGACTATGGCATGGATCTCTGGCAGGTTTGCTTGAAATCGGTTCATATATAGATATAACTTGGCTTCCATATATAATTTCGACTTATTTATGTTAATTGTACGCCAAATATTCAATGGGTGTCTGATTGAGATTAAATTTTAAACAGTACAGCGACGTCTTTTCGGATACATATGTAAAATATACCCAAAGTGGTGAAGGGTATCATATAGTCGGCCCAGTCCTACTTTACTACTTTCCTTACTGGTTTTAATGTGGTTCCTTATGATTTTCAACCACTGTCCGAAGAATCCCATTCGATGATCTCTACTCGAAAAGGAGTGGTCAGTTATTTTGTTAAATTTCGTCTTAAAATTTATTGGAAAGCAAAATCATTTCAATTAACAGCAATTTATTGCATTAACAAAATTGTGGATTCAAACAAACGCGACTGAGAGAGAGAATCCAAATGCACTGAATATTTTTTCTTTCCCTGTATGAGAGATAGAAGATTAACATCAAATGAAATTACAGACGAAACGAATAAAAATAATTCGGCCAGTGGCTCAGCAATTTAGTTTAATACACAAATCACCGTAGGCTAGCACCAAGCAACAGCAACAGCAGCAGCAACACACAACCGCAACAGCAACCAAATAGCGAGCATTTGACTTAATTGAGAATTATCAACAGCAGCAACGGCAGTACCAGAGGATTTTAAATTCGTTGCCAATGTATAATGCAAAAGTTGTCGTTCCGGCTTAACGAACGCTTCATGCCTTCTACCGTTTTGCTTCAAACAATGCCGTATCAATTCATCGGCTATTTGCAAATTGTATTCATGACACAAACCCATGGCACGTAAAAATGTTATTTCAGTGGATGATGTGACACAGGTATAACTTTGTGGACCACTGCTATGTATAACAGGACACGAATGTAATTCCGATAATTTCATTGATATAATATATTCGGAGGACGTATTGACTTCTTTATAGATGGCGAAAGGTTCACCGATATTTATTAATTTATCACGATATTTAATAGATACCTCTTGAGGGTAGCGACCGCGACAATAACGTTCAAAGGTACCATACTTGATGAACATACAGTGCGTTTGAACCAAGGCGAACAGGATCGGCAAACAAAATATTATTTGAAATATTTTGAAATTTATTTGTTGTCGAAATGTCATGGGGACATTTGAAATACTAATTTTAATTTCAGGAGACCATATTGGAAATTTTTAATGGTCATT